TAAAAAGAAGGTGAACCAAAGAGCGATAGTTTACTGAGGTGTTTTTGGTGTGGCTGAATTCATAACGAGTATTCGCTTAATGATGTAGCAGCCTGGACGTGCTAAAAGAGATGTATATTAGGATTCGGTATTTGGCGTATTTTTTTAAATTTCATTGTTTCGATCAATGAACTCGTCCCAGGTTATCGTAGTAAAGTGCCGTGTTTTGATATCCGCTTACGGAAAGCGGGATCCTCGAAAACGCATTGCCACTGTCCCAATACGCATTTTACCAAAACGCGTTGTCCCAAAACGGATTGTACCTTTCTACAAATCTGCGAAGGTGACTCCCCTTGCTCTTACCAGTACTGCTTCAAACAGCTTCTGTATCAAACTGAACTCCGCTTACACCCTTCCCTTTTTTCTATTGAAAATGAATTGCCCAGTGTGTGCTCAGTTCCCGATCCGGTAGGTTCTCCAGAATCCAGTACGCGGAAAATGCTCCTGCCAATGCGTAGCAGAAAAGCTGTTTTCCACAGTCGCTCTAATTTTGGCCCGTAACCGCATATGACGTTTACTATAGGCACCCAAAGCTTAACAAACCCAGCGCTTGGCCTATTCTGTTTAAGTGTATTGACGCTTGATCTGTTCTTCGATGGTTTTATCGGTCAGGTACGCCATCCCATTGGCTGTGGACCGATGACAAAGCGCTCGGCAGTCGCCGCGGCCTGCATTACTTAAGATGGTCACTAACTACACACGCGCACTCAATTTTTAAGAACGACCGTGCGATGCAGTAGATATCATTGCAGCTTCCAATAAATGGGAGAAACCAAATTCGTTGAGTTGCATGCATTGTCTGGCCGTAGGCCGTAACTACAGACGCGATGTTTACGCTACGATCCCGTGGAGCCAATCAATCAGCTTTAAAAGTGCATCGCTGCGGATATCATTGTATTTGACCGTTTTATTTTCTTTTTTTAACTGAATAAAAGAATCACGCACCGTAAATGCGCCGCGTACTGGCGCTTTTATTTTGTGCTCGAATGGTTTAGCGACTTCTAGCTAACCCTCAGAGAGAACAAGCGCCGTGATGATGGATTTTTTTCGCTGCTTGATTCGTATCATCTGGTTGTAGCGTCTGCTGTATTCGGACTGAATGTAAGACAATGACAATGTCTATGTTAGGTTGTAATGACACCTGATGTTTGTGCTCTCCTCCTCGAGAGAATAAACTTAATGCGTTATGGGAACAAGGGATCAACTGCCTGATGACCTTATGAAGGAACCTGTGCTTATGTGTTAACCGAATAACCACACCGTCATATTTACCAGTGTAAAGCTTCTGTCTACCTAGAAAAAAACAATATCCTCAACCTTATCTTAAGAGATATACTGAAATGAAAATTAACATATACATCTCGCACTCAGAGATAGGTTTAACATGATCAACCATATAGGGTAATGAGAATAGGACGTTTGTATATTCAACGATTGTCTATATTTTTTGTTTCAAATCGCCTATCCTAGGAAAGCGCTCAAGGAGCACGCATTGGTGAACGCGATGCTTCACGGTAGACTGCGGCGTCAATTGTTTCCAGAACGGGAGAGCTTACAGGAGTGCTAGCGAGGTTATGACCTTCCCCACTTGGGGGCACTAACGCGTTACAGCCTAGCAGCACGAGATGCCCCAGTCCGGTTGTTTAATGCCAGCAGAGGTGAAAAAGGGAATTACCTACGCTTCAAACTTCATTCCCATCCTCCCTTTCTTAGTCTTATCCCATATCCCAGCAGGAGTGGAGTAGGCGCGGAAAAAAAGGGAAATCTGGTTCGGCCAATTTGTACAAAGAGTGCGAGCGTTTAGCTTGCAGCCGTACTTCCGTGGAGTGTCGCTGCTTTTATGGAAAGACGGTTGTAGCAACAGTTGAAATAGTTTTGAGATTATCCACCAGGTTCAGTCTGAGAATGAATTTCTTTTTCGATTTAAATGCCGCTGTGGTTAATTTTCGAACAAAATATTGGTGTGCTTGTGTTGTTGCCAAACACTATAGAGTACAGTTGACATCTAGACAATGAAATTGGCGCTAGAATGTTATGCCACGTTGATGTGGCAAAGTGCATTGGCACCTCACGGCATAGAAAACATATTTAGGCGCGACACAGTAAAAGCTAGCAGTCGCCACTGGCCAATGTGCAAATTCCCTTTAGCGAGTTTTAGCCAATTGTATTTAACTACGCCGTAACGTATAGAGCCGTAACTAACAGGAACTAATCGTTAACTTCGGTTATGGCACAGCTATGGCTACATTTTTAACAACATCATGTACACGGGCGGCTATTGTGCCAAGTTAGTCTGACGACCATCCCTGTATACAACGGTCATATTTCGTTAATATGGATCCCGTTAATACGAATACCCACTCCGCGATATGGACATCATTTTCGGGGACAAACTGGGAAAATACGTGCATTTTTGCTTTGTTATTATGAACAACTCATATTAGGGACGAATTTTCGAGGGAACGAAGGCGTCCATATGAACGAGACATCGCTGTAATACAATGACACTGGTATTTCTAACTGAAGTTCTTATTGACCCTTCCAAAATTATTTTCCTGCGCGTCGTCCTGTTTGTCTATTGGACTGTACTACATGTTAAAACTGCCATAGAGCCTACTTGGAAAAAGTGGCTTCAATCTGTACTCGAGCACCGAACTAATGGCGATCGCAACGCCGCCATTTTTCCCGCAGCGGCCACTCCGGAAACTGCGCGTCTGCATGTATCGGTTCAGGTCCAGTCAAGTAAGGGCCAGTGGCTCAACCTCGCATTGCCATTTCGCTGTGGCAATATAAATGAACTTTCATGTTTTGACTAGATGCTAAAGGGTGGCGCTGTTACCGTATTTAGTTTGGTCTCGATGGACGTGAGCGGTCCGGGTTCCAAGTGTGAGTTTCACAACGGAGTGTTTTAGTAACGCTGGAGCATGCGTTACCTACTGCGGAGTTATCGGTCTCTCGCATGTGCATGCAACGAGAAACTGAAGACGAGAAAAAGACGAAAGCGCGCGGAGACACCAGAACGCCGCGCTCTGGTACGACTGATCGGTGGGTGTACCTAAAGTATAGTTGCCTGGAAGGCGTCTCCGACAGGTGTGTTTATCCACTCCGCGATATGGACACCATTTTCGGGGACAAACTGGGAAAATACGTGCATTCTTGTGGCAGACGCCTGTTCTGCTGCTGGTCGCTCTCCAGTGTGGCAGTCCACGGAAGCTTTGCAACCAGACGTTCGAACGTCGCGACGACAGCGACACTGTCGCGCGTTCGGGCTTTTCGCCAGCATTTCTACGACCAAGCGCCAGGATCGCGACATCCCACAGCAGAGCACTCCAACCTTTGTGACGTCATTTGGTGACAAATTAGGACCACTTTTGACGAATGGGCGGGCAGGACGCTAACCAGTCCAGTACGAAACGCGCTCGAGGCATCTTACCTAAAGCTAGTTTCCCTTGTCTCCACTACACTCGTTGAACGCGTTCGAATGAGAACGCCGAACGCCGGACGCCGGTGTTACGCTCTCTAGCGCGTTCGACGAGTGCAGTGGAAACAAAGGCAGCTAGCGTTCGGTAAACCCACTAATCATTCCAACCAGAGCTCGGCGTTCTGACGTCCTCGCGCACTCTCGTATCGTTCTTTCTCTCCGTTTCTTAGCGCATGTCCCTGTGACTTCATTGGCCCCCTTTTTTTTTTTTTTTTTTCCTAGTTGATAAGCGCTGCGAAGGAGTGTAGGGCTTTCTGTCTCCGTTGAGGTGAGGCAGACGTTATGAAAATCAACATAAAATCTTTACGCGGACGCTAAATATAGCGGTCTTACGTTCCGGTAAATTAAGCCAAATTGAATAACTCGAGCTAATTACTCATTCTTTTTAGATATAATAATTATTTGCCATAATTTACAAAGTGTAAAACAGGTTTTTTTTATGTTTTAGTCGGCACGCTTTATTGAACCTTGCGAATTACAAAACATTTAGAAAATTGCTACGGGAGATAGATTTGTATATCGATTTCATGACGAGAATATTGAAACCAGCACTACGCATATGCGGGCTTTTCATTGCAGTTTCACAGCGCCAAATGTACAAATATAGGTTCGAAATATACTTGAGTCGCTGATTGCTTCCAGAGCACCGAATTATATTCAGTCCGCTTACCGGAAGTATATCCCCGCAGAATCCAGTACTGATTGGTTGGTGGAACCCGTGACGGAAGTTATCAGTCGCAGATTTTGCAAATATGCCGAAAACGACAAAAAATGTATATAAAACGTTTCCGCGTTACCACGGCTACTGCGGGCACGCACGGGTGGGACCTCCGGGCATCGATGAGTTAGGACAAAACGGAAGGTGCATCGATTTTCCCTACCTCTTTGCATACCATCCGCTAATCCGGTTCGCCAAAGAAGATTGCCGGCTCATTTCCTCGCTCCTGTTGAGCTGGTGCTGCGTTTCAAACTCTACAGCTCAGACGCGAAGCCTAACACTCTACTTAAAAATGTTTCGAGGCGAGAGAGATAGAGAGATAGAGGAGACAGCGAGAAGCCTGTCTTGCACTGCACGCAAAGAAAGAACAAACTTTAATAAACACAAACCAGCGTCACCACGGGCCAGGAACGTGGATTGGGAAGCTCACACGAGAACGAACGCTACACTGTACGCGCTTCCCTTCGACCGCACTGGGTAGCGCCATGTTGGTGATAGCGACGGCTGCGCCACGACTCGGTAATGAAGCGAAGCTGGGGAGTTTTGGTACTCTGGGAACATTCAGTGACTCTAGTATACACATGTAAGTGGATCCGTTTACAGGGGGCGTAAATCATACAAATGTTCGATTTATGGACCGGACCATACGATAAAAAAGGTATACCCGTCCACCCGCTGCACTTTAGGTTTCCCAACTTAATACCTTGGATAAAAACTTTTTTTTGGACCTAGAATAACTTCACTTTTATTTTGAAAACGCAGATGAGCTGTCAGCTGCCCTTCGACCCATCCTGGTGCGAGCCGAGGCCGGGGATTCGGTGGCCTTCCAGTGCAACACGAGCTCCTCGCTGCCAGACAACGACGTGTCCCTGGACTGGACCCTGAATGGGTCCCCGCTCCCGCTGGGCTTCGAGCGCCTCGAACGGGGGTTTGTGCGGGTCAGCTCCGTGGCCAGGCACCAGGGAGGCATGCTGCAGTGCTTCGTATCCTCCAGGGACGGTCGTCGATCGGCCCAAGCGACCGCCGAACTCGTGGTCGGAGGTACTTTCGCTCAAATGTCTTCTTTGAAGAGCGCAATTTGAAGCGGATATTACAGAAGACGGGACGATGCATTTCCTATGTCAAGTTATTTGTCGTTAGCATCATCAACTACTGAGCCCATTGGCGCAGCATGGTTGTATTAGGAATATAATAAAATACTTATCAAGTTCGTGGATTTACATTTTTTTATTTTCCATTCGTTATTGTTTTACGGAGCCTCATTTCTTTTTTCGATTAATCTTTTAGCTTTAACCTGTAGCTTTCCAGAAATTAAATTAAAATGTAAGTACAAATAGTAGTACCGAGTTGTAGTGCACAATGTATGACCGCGAGTGCGTTACCTTGGAAAGATTCTTTTCTGCGCGAAATCTTGTGCAAGCAAAAGCATTTGGCAGAGCTATAGGCTCACGGGCTCGTGCCCTGCCATGTAAATACGAAGAGTGGTCAATGAGCTTTGTCTCCCAGGTTGTGGCTTTTTTATTCAGTGATGGAATTCAAAAGATGTTACATTCGAATCAAAGTTCGGAATGTCCTCTTTCCAAAGAGCACATAAAGTTTCGATATAAGCTGCAGCGGTGGCGGTGCACTTGCGCTACTAGTGTACCCCTCTCCGCATGCTGTCGCAGATGATTCAGGACGGCTGTCGACGGCACCAACGGCGCACTGCATCGGTAACCTCCTCCTTGAACCCAAATTATGTTCCCTTCAGATATTTATTTATTTTGGAAAACAGTCAAAAAAGATTGTCAAGTGAACGAGGCAAAACATCTTGGAACGGCAGCTCCTCCAGCGCTACTGCGTTTGTTTCGTCAACAATCCCCCTCAATCTTCTATGACGGCAAGCGAAAAATAGTACATCGGTAGCGGAAGTGGCTCTCCGCCGAAGGGGACTATATTGCGAAGTTATGTGTTCCTTGAAAAGAGGATAATCTAAATTTCATTTGAATGTAACACAGTCCATGACTGGCTAAAAAAGTCAGAGGCGAGGACGCAAAACTTATTGATCAACCCTCGTATTACTGTATTTTATTTTGCCACATCACCTGGGGCTGAGCTCAAACCTACGAGCACGAGCATGTTTCCCTGAACGATGGATGCACTGAACGAGTGAGCGTGCTTGGCAGAGGCCGGAGCTCGCTCTTGTCACTTTTGCTACACTTATCTGTCAAATCCGCTCCGTTCTTTTAATATTTTTTTTTCCTTTCTTTATTGCTATGCAGAACTAAGACAACTAGCGCGCGGTCAATGCATCAAAAATTATATTCACGCTGCGTGCAAGAACACACATTGGAGAGAGAAAAAGAATGTTATTTTATGCGTATCAATGACCTTGATCTTTAGAAGCAGCTTTAAAAATCTTAAGCTCGTTGCCTTTTTGGCTCCGAACGGGAACTGGAGTATCAGCAGCGTGAAAGAATTAACTACAGGTTTTTGTGTATGCAAACAGAAACAATCCACCCGACGTCTCCTAGGAATTTAGAAATAAGCTGGACTTGGTGCCTACAATACTGCCTATGGCTCCCGGTGCCAAGATCAGTGAGAATAAGTTGGCGAAGGAACAGCGGAAGGCACTTCTCTCGCCGCATCATTAAGGGCTTGTATAACCACCGCATGACTTCAAAAGAGATACAGGGTCATATTGTAAAACCCTCATTCCCTCAGGTGTCAGTGAGTGGGCGCAACTGAAGAGAGCTCAGTTAACGTCTACTTTTTATTATTCTACTAACCTAAGAAAAGTTCACACTGGGGAGATTCCTCGGTGAACATACGACTTAAAAAGGTTATCGGCGCATGTCGTACCTAAATGACAAAAATATTTCACTCTGCCAGAGTTGTCTCGAACAAAGCGCTTCTGTTCACTTATATTTACAAAAATTGGAAAGCCTGTGACATATTCTTTACCTCACGATGTGTTAATGATTAGCATTCATGAGATAAAATATGTCAAATTTATTTGTTAAATGAGACACGGTCACAGAATCGTAATTAATTATTTAAATCCAATTATTTTTTTATAAATTTATATTATTTTACTTACTTTACCGACGATATTGCCATTTGTTACTGATGATTTTTGAAGATAGAATATGGATTGTTTAATATTCCGATTCACTAAAGACACCATACAAAATATATTTACTGTAACTGTATTTATGCAGTACGGTGTCTGATTAATTAAGGAATTTCTAGTCCGAATGTTATACGTCTCGTTGGAACTGAAGGGGATTATTGATAATTATTGATAATTTTTTAGCTATTAAACACTCCTTATTTGCTATAATACATTGTCAAATGTAAACATGAGCCAAACAGCCTCTAACCATACTTCCATCCTTCTATTGAAAGCTCCCGGCCAAAATGTTTTCTGCCAGATTCCTGCACATTGGGCCACCGTGGTCATAGCTTGTCCAGTGGGCTTCACGTGAACTGGGAGCAGCTCAGCAGTCTCTTGGCCGGAACAGGAGTGTAAATGAACAAAAGAAAATCTTCAACAATTGATAATGGCCTCTGAACTTAGGTTGAGCTTGAAATTTGAAATTTCATTTAAACTTTAGATGAACTTTCGAATTTTATCTAAAGTTTAAGATGATATAAAAATATTCTAAGAGGCGATTTCCATACTTTAGAATCTAAAGTATGGAAATCGCCTCTTAGAAGGCTGAGACGGCTGTTACGGTCTCGGTTACGGCGGTCACAGGTAGTTTGCACACTAAAGTCCCTTGAACTGGCTGCAACAAATTATGAGCCATTTGCCGCAGGTTGTTCGTTCTTATCTTCAAACATAAGCCCTGACATTCTACGTCTGATGACCATCCGAAAAAGTCAATGCGAACTCTTATCTGCACTTCTACGAAGTTCCAAACGACGGTACCAAGCTCTTTTGCAATAGCTTGCCAGCCTACGCAAAAGGCTTGGATATTTTCCCTTCAAAATGAACCAACAGTCTAGGTTCAGCCACATGGGCGATTTGAGCTGACGAACGAAAAAGACATCCTTTGCAAAAAATATTGTAAATTCGAAAGCATTTCTTTCGGCCCGTGAGGTCGGTCTGTCCCAGTGTTATGGCTTCACCAGTTCACGTGTTAATTGGGCGCTCAAGTGCTCCTTCGGGAAGTTTTATTTTGACGGCGTATTTTTTCATTGGCTTTAGTTAACAGAATAGGCAGTTCCAGATTCCAAGATTTCAAGTAAACTCAGAGCACTAGAAATAAATGAGCACTATTTTCTCTTCGACAATTTTTTTTTTTTTAGAGGAAGGGGGGGGGGGGGGGGTTCACTAGTGTCATAAAATTTGACCAATGAAAATATTTTATATTATGGAGATTCAGAATGTTAGAAATAACGGTATTGTTAAGAGTGTTGTGCATTGTATCAAGGAAACAAATCGTTAAATATTTGGGTTTATGAGGCGTAATACAGTAATTATTCTAAAGCGCCGCCTTACAGAGCTTCCTGGTGTCTTTTATAAGTATGAGAACGAGGGATGCGTAACAATCATTTATTAGAGTTTTCATATGGGAATCGAGAGTCAGTGAGTGTGCTCTCCCTTTTTTAGGGTAATTAGAGACTGTAGATTGAGTTATCACAATTATTAGATGATCTCAATATCTACTTCAGTGCTCTTTTAAGATAACAATTTAGCCATTGAGATATAATTTCTAGCCTTTACTAAAACGACCCACGTCGAGATATGCTCATAAATGATACGCCAGCATGCAATTCCCACTTCCAAGAACGCTCGTGTTAATCGCTTCGGAAAACAAGTAAAGCGACCCCTGAGAATGGCACCGAACCGAAGCTCAATCGGCACTCGGAGACACGTTTTTGGAACAGCAGAGCAAGCTACTGCCACCCAGCGCAGATACATCTCGAGCGCGGATCGAGGCCATGAACCCACCACCTCTACTTGTGCACTCGGACTGTAAGTTGCCCGCGGGCATAGTGCGCCGTCACACCATTAAAAAAGAGCACCAAGCCTAAAGGCCCATACGCACATTCGCGTTTGAGCGCGGTGCGTTCCGTAGCGGCAAGCGAACGCGTTGCGTTGCGAAGACCGCTTGCGCCAAGCTTGTACGCACAGTTGCGTTGACACGCAGTCAACCGCAGTCAAGAGCCAATAAGAACTCGCTATCGTCGCTAGTGGCTCACCAATAGTAAGCGAAATCCAAGGCAACATGGCGGCGCACGGCGACGGCGTCGGTGTTCGATCTTGGGACAATCTCGCCGGCTTCCCCGACGTTTTGTCAAGCTTGAACCATCGCAGCCTTGGAAAATACAGTCCCCACCGCTCCCCAAAACGAAAAAGCAAGCGCTGCGACCGGCGAACCGGATACGTCTCACCGAGTCGGCCGGGTGGGGCGAGCGAACACGTCACCCCCTCTCCTCTTTCGACTTCTGATTGGTCGAACGCACCCGAACGCACCGCAACGCTTCGGAAAGTTGAGCGAGTCTCTACTCGCTTGCGTCGCGCTACCGAGCGTTGCGGGAAGGCGCGCGTCGCTCTGCAAGCGACCGCGCCTGGCCGCAAAGACTCCGCAACGCACTCAAACGTGTTCAAACGCGAATGTGCGTATGGCCCTTAAGAGGGGGTTACTTGATGCAGACAAGAATTCGGCGAAACTTCAAAAAAGTCATATCATATTGGCTTTGCATCCCAAAGCGTCTCTTGCCGCGCCAGAGCGGTGGCGCCATCTAGATTCCTAAGTATCTCGAATCTGAGACGAAATTCTACCGTGATGCGCTCTTAGGATGGCACTGCATCCTAATTACAGGGTGCATCATTTCGACGAAACATATTTATAAAAAAAAACACAAAAATATGCATTCCATTGCGGTCCGAGGAGGTGAGTTATGCTAACAGTACATTGAATACAAGATATGAGCATTACGTCATTATTAGGAGAAGCCTGCGCGCCCCAAGCGGGAAACATACTGAAGCTTGGCGAAAGTACTAAAGCCACTGAATCTTCTCACAGTACTGAAACTCCCAAACTTCGCTTTAGAACCGAGTCGTGAGGGGGCAGTTGCGATCCCCAACATGGCGCTGCCCTTTACGGTCAAAGCGAATAGCATACACTGTAGCGTTCGTTCTTGAGTGAGCTCTTCTATCATTGTTCCTGGCCTGTGGCGACATGACACTTGTTTGTTTAAGAGCGCAGCTCTTAGGTGCCCGTTTTTGTGTGTCGCGGCATCGGCATCGCCATTGCCGTCGGCATAACTGCGCTAAATTTAGCAAGAAACTTGACGTCACATGACCTGAACACTAATTCAAATCCGCTCTAAATTTAGCGGGGAATCGAATTGCTGTTGACGTCACGTGACGTCAATTTTCTCGCTAAATCTAGCAGAGAAACTGAATTAGTTCATAGGTGATGTGACACCAAGTAATGTGACGTCATTTTTCCCGCTAAATTTAGCATGGAAACTAAATTGGTCTTGAGGTCACGTGCCGTTAATGTTTCAGCTAAATTTAGGGGGAAGTGTGTGGAGCTGGGAGTATCGAGGAGGAGCAGGAAAGGAGGAGGGGAGGAAAGGAGAAGAAGGAGATGAAGGCACGGAGAAGGGGGAGGAGGCGGAAGGCAGGTAGAGGAGGATTAGAATGGAAGAAGGACGAAGAGAGGAAGAGATTCGAGGATCATGAGGGGAAAGGAGGTGGAGAGGAGGAAGAGGGGGAAAGAAGGTCTTTAGAGAAGGACGAGAGGAGAAGAGGAAAAGGGGAGGAGGGGAGGAAGGGAGGAGGAGGAGGAGCATACCCTCCTGTACCCTCCCTCCTCCTCTTCCAGAGCTCTGCCCTATTTTCGTGTTACAGAGATGTGTAAACGCCTTTCACTTTTTTTATTGAAGTTGTTTCCCTCGTTGCGAGCAGTGCGTGACTTGTACCTCGCTGTCTCGTCGCGCTCTCTCGCCTCGAAACACACATAAGTCGAGTTCATCGAGTAGCGTCTGAGGCGTAGAGTTCGAGACGCGGCACCGGCGCAACTGCAGCCAGCAAACGAGCCGGAAATCGTCTTTGGCGAACAAGGTTAGCGTCTACTTGATATACAAAAATCTAGCGGAAATCAACGCACCTTCCGTTCGGTCCTAACTCATCAATGCCCGCCGTAGCCGTGGTAACGCGGAAACGTTTTATATAAGTTTTTTCTTGTTTTGTGCCTATCTCCCAACTGGCCGACTAATAACTTCCGTTACGGGTAACACCAGACAATCAGAACACTTTTCTGCGGGGATCGACTTTCAGTAAGTGGACTGAATAGAATTCGGAACTTTGAAAACATTTTATGACTCTGGAGAGTGTGATGCAAATCGGCAGCAGTGGGCGTCTTGGCGTTGCCGCGTGCGAACCTATTGTGAGGCTCTGCATGACGCACTAGCCGCGAGTTCAAACAAGCCTGGTGGCGCGGCTTGAATGAACTAATGATGCGGTTTGGTGGAGAACGGTCCAGACCTTGTCTTCCAGGTTGTATTGGTTATTCGGGCAGGAGGGGGGGGGGGGGGGGGAGGAGGCTAAGACTCGTGATCAGTCAAATAATTTACTAATGCCTTTCACAAACGTTTTATTTTGTTAAAATAAGTATTTTCTATGAAAAAAAAAGCCATGCTGAGCGTCATTGAAAACCACTGATTATGTCAACTGTAGAACGATTTGTTTCGCGTGCTGCGTTTTTTCTGAGTCCCGAAAATGCATCCAAATTCGGCGTGCCAAGACGGTTGTTCCGTTTCTTATTGGGGATGCTTTAGCAATCCGTTAACGTGTTCCGCGTACCGCACAACCGGAGGCTTTGAAGCATGCGTTTTAAGCATGGGCCCTGCGGTAACTTTATCACCCGGGCGCGCGCTTAAACGCTTCCTTCAAAGGCTCCGGTAATGCCGTACGTGGAACATGGTAAAGGTTTGCTAGAAGTCCTTATAATTCTTTTTTTCGTTCCGCCAGACTTGAAACTGTAACACGAGTGATAACTGCAGCCTTCCACTGCGCTTTCACACGCTCTAGATATCTCTCAAATTTACTGACGTAGTTGTTTTGAATGCTCCTCAGAAAATTGTGATTTGCGACCATATGCTTATTTTCACAAATTAAAAACTTATTCAAAGATTTTATATTTTAATATTCGCCATATCATGGCGAACCTGCACAGGCGGCGTTTGCGTGTTTCTCGCGACTTTATTTATACAAATATGAAATAGCTCGTAAACCTTGCTGCAGCATAACAACTACGAAATAAGGCGCCACCGCTAAAAAAAAAAAAAAAAACTACGTCCCGTTCAGTTACGAACCCGCCGAAGCGCGTTGGGCATTCGAAGACTGTTTTGGTTTTCTTTTTGGTGGGTGGCAATTAAAAAAAAAAAAATTCGCTGACAGCTGTCCTCTTCACACCACACAAAATTGGGCGTTTGTAATTATAATAGTATTGAAATTATTTTTTTTTTTACTGTGAATTCATTGATAAACTCTTTATTGGAGTTCCTTTAGTATACTCAAGGAATAGTTGTGTCGGAACTCTGCTGGCGCACTTTACAATGTGTCGCAGTGAAGGTTAGACTTTGAAGTTACATAAAAACTATATATCCAATGCTTAGTTTCGCTGGCATTGGTGAGCAATATGGATGTTTTAGCTCGAGTGCTAGCATGGGGTTTTATAGGTTGCCATGAAGGTTCCAGTACACTGCAGGATTTTGAGAACCCTTAAAAAAAGTGTTTTAAATAAGTGAATCAAATGAATAACTGACTGCGACAGATGATTAGAAGGAAGTGAAGGTTGGTTGCACTGCAGAATTCCTTATACTTGGCGGCGTCCCTTCGACAAGATATTTTGGTGGCGCTCTCTCCTGGTTCCCACCCGTCAGTTTACAACCGTGATTATCAGTTGAGAATGACGTCAGTAAAAATCACTTTGGAAGCTTGGAATGATCGTGTTCTTAAGCCTCAATCACCCCAATGGACAGTCTGCCATTAACCTCATTCACGCATGGATGGAAGCACCATTAGGTTTACCAATGACGTCGTCGCTAGTCTTTCACTTTTGACAAAAGTCCGATCACAGCGACGCTCCTCTTCGCTCACACCCCGTTAGAGATCTGTCTAATCGAAGTTACTCATTGATTTACATTTCGTCGAACACATTATAAACGAACAATCCTTATTGTTATCGCTACCCCTGAACGTGTAGCACTTTTTAGTGTATAGCCACTGTCAGGAGACTAATTGCAGGGCGTCTGGTTGGCCTTCATGTTTTTCTGACAGCGCATGCTCCCTCCAGGCTGACGAGACTCCTAGTCGCTATTGAAGGTAGGAAGCTTTGAAATGGGGTGAAAGGGTAACTTCGTCCCAATGTGAAACCAAAATAAATTACTGATATCGATATACGGGGACTTAATACTAGCACTGCCAGAATTCTACACCAATAGGAAGCTGCGTTCCACTATGATGCCGATATGAAGAATGCTACCGCCGGCATCTTAGCGGGCATTCAGCGGGTTTGTTGTTTGTCAGACAACCATGTTTTGCGATGTTATATTCGTACTCAAAAAGGTTACTTGTTCATACTGAGTCTTTCACCGAGTTTTTCAGCCGCATTTTCAGCCGTCCTGTCGGATGAATTCTGCGTGTTATGTTATATATTAGCATCCTTCGTTTGTAAGTGCTCGTCCCCGACCGCACACGGGGATTATTGACGAGCTGCTCGCTCAAGCATGTCGTGGTGTTACGGGCGGCACAGTGTCATGTGACGTCACAGTCTCGCGTGACATCATGGTCTCACGTTACTTCGATGTGCCATGATATGCCATTGCGTTACGTGACGTCATTACCTCGTTTCATGACGTGGCGGCACAATTTCGCTTCTAAATTCAGCGGAACGATATCTCCTCTAAATTCCGATAGAAAGTCCTGCTTTTCAAAACTCGTATCAAACGCTATCGCGCCTTCATTGCATTTTACGAAACATCTAATCCAGGTGACTTTTTTTTCTTGACATCTGTCTTATGAGTATATACACCTCCCCGCCGTTCTCATCCTGCCAGTGACTATAAACCACAACTTATGTTCTGGCTCTTTTTAAAACCTGACGCAGAACGGGCTCCCCGGCTGGAGCAGACGTTCGAGACTCCTGGCGCCGTGTCGCCGAAATCTTCGGCGAGCCTCGGATGCCGCGTGTCCGGAGACCCTCCGCCCAGCGTGTCCTGGACTCTGGACAGCGCCTGGCCCATCGTCAGCGGTGGCCCCAGGCTCCGTCTCTGGTCCACGAGCGACGGCGTGACCGGCGACGTCATCAGCTTCCTCAACTGGACCTCGGTCGAGGCCGGGGACAGCGGTCAGTACGTGTGCCGTGCGACCAATGCGGCCGGCCGTGTGCAGCACGCGTTCAGGCTGAACGTGCGTGCCCCGCTCTTTGTACGGCCTGCGTACAACGAGACGGCGCTGGTGGGCGCCACAACCAGGCTGCAGTGTCCCTTCGGAGGATACCCCTTTGACCGCGTCCTCTGGTACAAAGGTGAGCCCGTGGATATTTACCCTTTAGCTGCTACGATAACCGCTAGACCACCTTGGTCTTCTGCGTGGAAGACGTTCTTACTACCGATCACATCTCGTTAAGAGCTAGACGTGTGGTGTTGAGACAAATAGAAAGATGAAGAGGATATGGTAAAGGAGGAAGCGAGGATAAGTGGAAAGCGCAAAATTTGTGTCGGCCTTTTTCAGTGTCCCACTGGTAGTACGCCATTCAAAATGTAGTCTGCAGACGCAGCCCGAGCAGTGTTTCTTCCTTGAACGGCCGTCCCGTTACAATCATACAAAAACCATCTGGAGACATTTTCTAATCCTACATATTGTGAGGAAAGAAGAAGAGCTGCGACGCTCCGGATCTCATGCAAAGGGCCCGGCTCTTCGAACCGTTCCATGCTTAGGCCCGCCTGCCTAGCACCTGAACGTTCACCACCTCTCCTGCCTCTTGATTAGCTCGTAAAACCACACATCATCATCTCACAACATGTACGAAGCGAACATGTTTGGAACTTGCGTGCGGCATGTCCGCAGATATCTCTGTCATCCTGTCTGTAGCGATCACCGTGTATTTTTTTTTTTTATGCTTAAGCAAAACGAGCACCTCTTTACTCGTAACGTCCTATAGATGGCAGGGTGGTATAGTTCCAAGATGGACGAAGAGATGAAAACAGAATATCCGGGGATTTTCAGTGCGCCTCCTCGTTGATGGTGGTCAGTGTGCTGAGATAATTTACTTGAATACGAAGCGGTACGCGCAGGGGCATATCAAATATGACGGAGATGCTGATGTGTATTATGAAGATCACGCTTGTTTTGAAAAGTTTCGAAAAAGGAACGCAACAATCCTGTTTTAACGCACTGTCTCTTCCGGCTGAAAACTGCCTGACACATTAACTGACCGATCAAAGTCATGCGATTGCAGCAGCACAAACGGCGACAGGCCCTGCCAGCGTCTCCACCGCCGTCCCCGTTCCTCTGGTTCTTTGTTCGTCCGGGAGAGCGCGAGCGGCGGATATGAGTTACGAATCCGCCGCTCGCGTCACCTCACACTAAAGGCGCGTTCCCACCGGCGATGCGATCTAGTCGCGCGATAACTTTCATCGCAAAAGCGACCATCGCGGGCAAAAAGCGACGCGATTTGAGCAGTTGCTACTCGACCCGACTTTTTTGCGATGCGATCTAGTCGCGGAGCGGCTGAGCCAATCAACGGCGTTCGGAGCGAGAGTTTTCGAGAAACGACTCGCCAACGAAGGCGTTGGACTCGCTCATCGCGCACGCCGGTGTGACCATCTAACTTTTTTTGCGATGCGACCCAGTCGCATCGCGCGACTACTTACATCGCCGGTGGGAATGCGCCTTTACATCACCAAGCATTTATATATACTTGGTGATGTTAAATAAACTTTGATTTGATTTGATTTGAATGGGGGAGGTTTGGTAATGAATTCCGTGTGTGTTTCATGTTACACAGCGCTAGACTGATAGTGAAAGCACATGAGCATTTTTTTTTATAAATTATTTTCATAAATGTACACCGAGGCACCAGATATTACCTACCATGATGATGCACTCAGTGAGAACTTTCCGACCCATATAATACATTTGATGACAGCCCCAATATTTCGGAAGGAAAGCATAAAAATAGAGTCATTGCTCTTTGTCCTAACAGTGTCGTGCAGTGTACGTACTCTCTAAGACACTGTTAGCGCGAACAGGGCATCGTCGGATTTCTCTCTCGTTTTTTTGCTCTGGATCGAAAGACTGTCATCAAATATTCCATAGTAGTGCGAACTGCCCTATTGGAATGCTACCCTAAGTGGTAAATGTTTGATGCTGGCCAGTACAGTTTCAAAGTAAAATGCAATAAAGCGGCGGTGGCACGTTCGCACTAGCAGTGTCTTGAAGTGTACAGTACGTCGTGGCCTTCCAGGTTTAGAGGAAAACCGATATCCGCTAAATTCCGCCGGGAATCGCAATGTCGTAACATGGCGAAAACACAGTGTTACCTGACGCCACGTGAAATGAGTACAGAAGATTTCCTATAAATTGAGAGCGAATTAAGTGTCGCGTGATGTGACAGTGCCACTTGACATCAAAGAGTCGCGTGATGTCGTTTCGTCACTTAACGTCAAAGTGTCGCATGATCACCACCCGCTAAGTTTAGCGGCACGTAATTTGTCTATATTTGAATATGATCGTTTAATTGAGGTCAGCAGTTTCTACCGTCTCTGCAATCGCCACAGTTCATTGGCAGAACCTGCAAAAACCAAACATAATTTATTTTTGAACTATAGAAGGAATTTTTGGTGATTTCAAAGTCTGCTGCGCGGTGCAGGTAGTTGTGTGGTGGTGCCGATCGTTTTGATTATGTGGTAAGTTTGAAGAAATGTACCATTACATGTTCGTAAAGAACGGATGCGAACAATGCTCACATGTGTAAGCCATCGTGTTCCCTCGTTCCAGGGGTGGCGGAAATAAAATACTGGATTGGAATTACGGTTCTTTAATTGGTGTTAGAATAAATCAGGACCGTGTTATTACTTTTCAGCGTAGATAATTACACAAAGTAATAAATTAATTTAGTGCTGTAATGGTAATGAAAATATCAATATATATATATATATATATATATATATATATATTTATTACGGGTACATTTTTGTCTCGAAAAATATCACGGGCAAATAAAAAGTCAGCTTGGACATTACTAAAAACAAAATAACATTCGAGAGAAAAGGGCCATGTAAGACTCAGAGAACGGCAGTTAGGCTGTGCCGCATTACGATTTTGTCAATTCGGACGCTTCAAGATCATATTCTGGAAGCGGCACGATCCACCCATTCGCGTTAGTTTGAGCTTAGAACAGAAGTAAAATGGAATAAGCTCGAAACACTCTGTGGATACGATATAGTCTCGTTTAATTCCGTCCATTACTTTTATACGTTTGAAGCCTAGAAAATGTTTGACAAACAAAAACTTCCATTTATTGATAATCGTTCAGGGCACACGTCGGATTGCCGTAATGCACCAGGAACTAGGGAGGGGGAAGCAAGTATTACTCGAATACTCCGTTTAAGCCGGACCAAAGGCAGTCTAAGTGCGGCCACCGTCAATGTGGCTTAAAGAGACACTGAAATGAAAAATAATATTTTGAACCGCCTAAATGAGACACATTTCATTGCTCTAAATTTCCCGCGGAAAAAGAATGGCGTGATATGGTGTGCCGTAAACGCAGTTTGAGTTAGCACTTCTCTAAGCTCCGCTCTTTAGCAAAAGGAGCAAAGCGACCTACGCTCCTTTTCTCGGCTCTGAGTGGTTGGTGGGATCATTGAGGTGTCGATTTTTTTTTTCGAATATTGTTTTCCGTGCTTTTATTGTTTTAATATTTTATACGGCATATCTTTTTAGTTTTAACAAAAACCATATATATCTATATCTATATATATACAAAAACCATATATATACACATATATATATATATATATATATATATATATATATATATATATATATATATATATATATATATATATATATGTGTGTGTATGTGTGTGTGTGTGTGTAAAGTCACTACTGTCTTTAGAAATATCACTAGATCGGAACTTCCCCTTTAATCTCAAATGATAAACATCGGTGTCGGCGTTTACGGCGAGCAGTTCCACCCTCGCCTAACTGGTTGGATCGTCCATTTCTTCTTTCTTTTTTATGAGTGTGAGTCGTTTTACGTTTACCGAGATGTTTAAAATGATATCCTTAACCGACGTAGTTTACAGCGAACAACTCATGGAAGGCAGGCCTTCGCATTCGCTGTGCGGGTGCTTGTTTATGTTCCTGGACTAGCGTATGCCATGCGTTCTACGTCAACTAAGTATTTTGTTTGGTCTGACTTTCTTACCTTATTTTTTCGTTTATGCGTGTGCATGCCGAATGAAGGAGTCGGTTCCCGTAAAATCAGCCCCGCATCTCTGTGAATGGTGTAACCGTCATGATTGCGACAGTGGTTTTAGCAGTGAGACGAAACCTACACATGGGCGTATTTGCGAGCCATTTGTCTCAAAGCCATCGGGTGTTCTTTTACCATCAGGTTATTCGAGAGTAAATGAGGAGTCCAACTAACTTATATACCAGTTTAATGATTACGAATGGAAGACGAGTTGGCGATTGAGGTTTATTAGTTCGCCGGCTGGCGGGGTCGCCATCAGGAGTCCACATTTTTGTATGCGCTTGCGGTCTGTCGCTCTGTGACTGGTCTGGGAGGCGAACTGGTGAAATTTCGCGGTCAAACTCTGAGTCGAAGGAAAATTCCCCGCTCCAGTGCTGCGATGACTGTTGCATTGAGGGCAGACACCTTGCAGCTGTGTCGTGGAGGCAGCTGCTGTCTTTTTCTTCTAAGCTCGCAGGCTTGTCGACGCCGTGCAATTCGCCGTTTGTTGTCGGTCTCTTTGTGTCTTCCCCCGGGGCCGGGCCACCGGGCATTTCGCTTTTGCTGCGGCCTGTCTTTTTTTCTTTTCCCCCAGTTTTCCTCCGAGAGTCCTCCTCGATCCTGGCCCCCTTCTCTTCTTGTTCGCAATGCCACGGGACGTACCCCTCCCTCTCTCTTTCTTCGCCTGTCCTGCGCTTCTGCTTTTGATTGCGGAATTCCGGAGAAGCGGCCCAAGTAGCCTGATCAGGGTAATGAGAACCGTCTTGTTGCACAACCAGATTTGTCTCCCTTGGCATACGCGACCCTCCTCACTCCGGCACCGTGTTCGCTCATGAAGGTCTATAGTGGTTATAAAACAAATCTCCCTAACTTCCGATTCGGCCAAGTTCGGCACTTGCCGAACTTTTGCCGAACTTTTGAAGGAAAGTTCAGTAAAGATTCGGTAAAAATTCGGAGCCGTGGATTGCAAATGGACGCCGCGCGGTCGTGTTAGCATCGTAAAGTGTAGTGGTTACGGCGAGGTGCGGAGACGGCGACATGGTAATTGTTTTTGTGAGCCTTTCTCA